CGAAATCTAGGGAGCGAATCTATTTAGAATTTAACTTATTTTAAACATAAGTACATTTTGTAAAAATAGATTTATTTAATAACATTTCTATGAATTTTAAAAAATAATAACGTGACGAGGTATGTAATTTTGACATTTGTCCGGCGCTCACTGCTGTGGTCCTTTTACCTGTCACGCTGAAATTGAGTTTTATATTTTTCAGAGGATTGCCAAGAGATTACATGTAACCATTTACACATCTTTAAGAATTATGATTATTTTAGTCTTCTTCAAAAAACTGTTGCAAAAGCATCGTCAGTGATTGCTGTCTAGTGCGTTACATTGTTGCCACAATCTGCTAAGCCTGAATTTGTATAAACATATACTTGTATAGGCCAAGTTCTGCCTGTAACATACACAGTTCCTGCCACAAACTGATTTACCTCTACTTGAGCAAACAAGCTTTTGGAAGAAATCTGATGCCAAAGGTCCCTCTAAGAATATTGGTGCCAATCCACAAACACTTTCTTTCCAGCCAAACTCTAATGGTGACTTATGCACTGGCTTGGCTATGTGTGAATTCATCCATACACATGTTTGATACATTACACAAAGAATGTGTTTTGTAAAAGATGCTTCACAAGGTGGAAGTCAAGCAAGAGCTGTTTCTTTTGCTGTTGCTTCTTTGACTCTGAATTAATTGAGATTTCATGCTAATTCTTTAACCTTTCTTGTGGATTATGCAACACTGAACAAGCTTTCGTGAAGCATTTATAGCAGCATCTAAATCGTCACCGGAAAGAATTGATAGAGTTCAAATATTTTCTGAATGTTTCCGTAATACCATAACCCTTTTTCCCAGGCCAAAGAATGACGCGGTTGCGTCACAACCTGTCATAGCATGTCCAGAAGACAATATCTAAGATATTGTAGGACCAAGTGATTTCAACAGATCGTGGACGCGGTAAAGATCGCCTTCGGTCTCGTGAGCTTGATACATTTCCAGTTTGAAACCACAAATCGTCTATGTCATTTGAGGAAAGTAGTGTATAAGAAAGAGCAAGAGGGGACCGAACAATGACACGGCCTCTTACATAAGCTCAAAAGATAGAACCAGCAAACTGATAAAGTAGTACTATTCCCGTATCTGCTTCTTCGTGTGTGCTCCGTAGTTCATTTCAGGACTTAAATGTGCTAAGATATGTCGAGTAAGGACCCATCTGTGATCCCAACAGTACTACTGCATTCTTTTGATAAGTTTTTTTGTCGCCATGTCCCCCATATGCCATTAAAGAAATGCCATTAAGGAACCGGGCTTTTATTTTACAGAAAAATCTCCAGACTTGAAAGCTGACGTTATGGACTCTGGCAGCTGTATCATGTCTAATATGTAGACAGGCATCTGCTCTAAAGGTAACAAAAAAGTAAGGCAGCGTTGCTGCATTTGATTGTAGATGTTATTGTCATAGACTATCTACTTGTGAAATCCGGGCCAGAATGGAACAGTTTATTCTTGCAAATTTACCGATATTGGGATGTGGATAGTACTTTGGCGTGTAAGCTGGTGAAGAAACACCCACGTCGTCTCTGATATATTGGCATTTTAAAACGATTATGACGTGGTCTTTCCATAAGCATTTGCACAACGAGGTTGCCCTTGGCGTTCTTTTGGTTCAGAAAAAGAAAGACTAAGCATAAGTTGTTTTTTTTTCTTCATCCAATCTTAAGGCCTAGCTTGTCCCCTTATATCTTTAACAGAGGATAAGGGTGTGTTTCTTGTGTTTTCCTGCAATTGAAAGATAACTCTAGTCATTGAATGAAATGTTTTCTTACCATCAATGGTCTCAGTGTTGATATCAACATTATCTGTCCTTCTTTGTTTTTAAGGTGGCTCCCTTTTCAAAAGGAACAATACCATTGGGAACAAGAGAATGCTCTCCCATATTACCTACACCCTGGTTTGCCAAGCTGGTCAAGAAAGTTCTGCCTTCTGAATACGATGCACAAAAGCTAAAAAAAAGAGTGTCAAGTTTCAATAAGATATTTGGAACCATATTCCTGATGAAGTTGTAATGCAAGGTCTAGATGAAACGGGGTCTTTGTTTAATGACACAATGCATTCTGCTAAAGCTGTGACTTTTCTCTTTTAATCTACATTTTCATTTCGGTCAACTTCACCAATATGACTTTTCATCAATAAACCACAGCAGAAACTTTGTAAGCGAGCTTGGAGTTATCATAGTCCACCTGTCATGGGAAACTTCAACCGAAGACCGGTAAATATCGCGAGAAAGTAGTACAGACTGTTTGTCACCGTGAAATACTGAAGCAGCCGCCGCATGCAGTGTGTGATCTTCGTTCATCTTCACATTTGAAATTTCAAGTTAAAAAAATTAACTCTGCCTTCTACTGGCTGACTTCTTGAATAGCCTCTGCTTTTGAAACTGATATTAGAATTCCCTAGTCCGTCCTGTGTGTGTTTGAATAACGACAGCAGTGCCATAAAATTTCTCTAGTCTAGAATTTGTTTGAATATTTGTCACATAATTCTTTCGGCATAAAAGAATGAAACTTTCGTTTTTGCAAAACAGAAGACATTAAGAAAGCCTTTTTTTGATACACCAAATCATAAGTTATGTCTTTAGCTAACTGCTGAATGCTTTATCGTGAGATGTTTTATCGATGCTTTCCCCTGGTTGTTTCTATGCTGTATTAAACAGAAAATCAGTGATGCATGATCTAGGATAAAGTTTCCTTTCAACGAATTTTTCACAAGAAACCAATAATAAAATTCCATCACATCTTTCTTTTGCTGTGTTTGTTACCCTGTGAATTCGTTCTTTTTCTATTTTATGCACTTTTGTGTCACAGTATACTTTGTCTACTTTTGCTTACAGAAAATACAGAAAATCTATCTGGCCATGGAGCGTGTTTGAAGATTCATAACAAATTCTGCATGTAGAAGTGAAGTGGAAGGGTTAGTAATTGAATTAAAAATTTCCATTAATTTACCCAATGTATGTAAACGACAGTGATCATATGATCAATTGTCTTTGAACATTCAGCAGAAATAAGACAGGTGTCATATGTTGAAAATGAATATTACATGTTTGACCGCTGAGTGAGATGTTGGACCTGTCCATGAATGTTGGATATTGCCTACGTCACACAATGGGCGGAGCTCTATCTAATTTGCATTCGTTGGTGTTCAAAGTGACGGACCAGAGGTTACATTACGGAAGGCAATATAAGATACATGTTTGTAAAAAAAAAATCATTATAAAAGGTATTATATAAAATGCATATTTTGAAAAACAGTAATATTCGACAAACACATCTGAAGTTCGAATTGCCAATCTCTGAACTTTATTTAAGTATAGAAAAAAAATGACTTAAGAAAACTTTACGACCCTTCAAGAAGGGTGTCTCTTTCATAAAATATAACTTACAACAGTAAGGAAAACCGGTCCGAAACAGGCACGCAGCATCGTTTTTTAGCCAGAGAGTTTTTTTTACTTATTTTTTTTTGGGGGGGGGGGGGGGGGGTAGTGGCCAACCGACTTCCTTTCACTTCCAATTTTTTTTCATACATAACTACATTTCCTTGATATCACTTTACTGTGGTAAGAAGTGAGGGGGGGGGAGCAACCAACCTTTCAATAGATATTTTCAATAGTTAAGGTAATGTTGGGAAAAAAAGTGGGGGTCAGCCCCTTCCCCTCCCCCCCCCCCCCCCCCCCCCCCCCCGGTTGTTACGTGCCTACGAAAGATTCACTCGAAAAACGAGTGACTTGTTCCAAGATTGTCACTCCACTAATTATTGTCCCCAGCTTTTTTGAAAGAGAGGGACATTAAATCTCCTTGATTTGCCATGTCTGTTCATCTGTCTGTCTTTTCGTCTGTCAGTCTGTCACAAAAACTTTAACCTTGGTAATTAGAGATAGGACTTTCATACATGTATTTCACATGTATATTGTCGCAGGCGGGCCGATAGGTCGCCACACAAAATAATTCTAGAACAGTTCTTTCAATTTTTTTTTTACATTTATTCAAGGATTAATACATAAGTAAAAGTTGTGGCATTGGTATGTTGTTTGGGTAGATTGGTTCCCTGGACTAATTTGGGACCTACAAAATCATTACAAATTCACATATTATAACAATTGTAAATAAAATATATCAACTTGATTCGTGCTTATGCATATCATAACATTCACTGTATACTTTGCACTTTACTGCATACACTAAAGCATTTTACTGCATACTGCATTTTACTGCAAATACTTAAGCATTTTACTGCATAACTCCACAAAATATTTATACGAAATATTTGTGTACAATAAACACGTACTTTACACCATACATTGTAGCTACTACATACTATAATAAGACTATAATATACTCGTATACTTTTAACATACTACTAATACTTGAAATGATAGCAATGCACACATTACTCAATCACGTAATTTACATCAAAGTTAAGAACTAAGGTCCTTGGCCATTTCAGGAAACTGTATAAGATAAAACCTTTTAAATTAATAAAACAAACTTACCTCAGAAGATATGTAAAGTCTGGTCAAAATACTTTGAAGAATACTACTGTGTTACTAATTCTCGAGCAAGTGAAGAACGTCTGCTCTACCCAATTGCTACACCCAAACTGACCACTTAACAGCACGGGATTTAAAATAAAATATAATTAAAATTAAATATAAAAAAATACAAGTAAATTCTACTGAGCAGATAAAATAATATGGAACACCGTTATGGCATTTAAATAAGTTATTTACATATCGAAACAAGTTTACGTTAAAAAAATATGGAATAATGTTTGGACGTTAATTGTGACACACCTCCCCTATTCAAATAAGTACGAAGTACTTTTACAGCTCAACAATTAACGTATGAAGTAAAAGAATTTTTCTTTATACTATATACATTTTTTTTTACTTTTTCCATAAAGATAAAATAATAAAAACACTGTTCTTATTGTAAACTCATTACTGACTGTCACTGATTCACTCCTGTCGACTTAAATAATCAGCTCCGACGTTTTCCTTTCCCCTTATTGCGATAATACGGAATCTATAAGGCTGAAGGAGTAGTGCCCACCTCATAAGTCTGGAATTTACAAGTTTAGTCCGGTTAAGATATACCAATGGATGGTGGTCGGTCTCCAACATGAACTCCTTACCGTAGAGATATCGGTGGAATTTCTGGACCGCCCATACAATACCTAGACATTCTTTCTCAATGGTAGCATAGTGTTCCTCACTCGGTTTCAACTTCCGGCTTGCATACGCCACGGGTAACTTGATATCGTCTTCCTCCTGTAATAGAACTGCACCTAATCCTTTGTCAGAGGCATCCGTCTGAAGAATAAAAACTTTTGAAATATCTGGTAATTTCAGTATTGGTGACTTTGTCAAGGCTGATTTTAAATGTTGAAATGCAATTTCCTGTGATTCAGTCCATTGAAGTTTTTTTGACGAGAATTTCCTTGTAAGATCTGTTAAGGGAAGAGCAATATGTGCAAAGTTTGAAATAAATTTTCGGTAGAAATTTACCAACCCTAGGAAGGATCGCAGTTGTTTCTTGGTAGTTGGACGACTTGCCTGTTGTATTGCTGATATCTTGTCGGGATGAGGTTGCACTCTGTCACCTCCAACGATGTGTCCTAAACACTCAAGTTCCTTGTAACCCACAGAACACTTGGTTGGTCTAGCTGTAAGGTTTGCTGCACGTAGACGCTGAAACACTTTGGAAAGCACAAGAACATGTTGATCAAACGTGTCAGTGAATATAAGAATATCGTCAATGAAATTATCAACGTTTGGAACATTGTGCAAAACCTCCCGCATAAGCCGACAAAATGTCGCTGGTGCGGTAACTAAACCAAACGGCATTTTAGTAAACTGAAAAAGCCCTAAAGGAGTTTGAAATGCAGTTAAAGGACGAGCAGACTGAGTAAGTGGCACTTGCCAATAACCCTTAGAAAAGAACTTGTGACCTGACAATTTTGCAAATATCGCATCCATATCTGGCATTGGCTCTGCGTCAAACACAGTAATTCGATTAAGTCCCCTGAAATCTACACAAAACCGATAAGATTTGTCTTTCTTCACAACCAAAACAATAGGTGACGAATAAGGACTTTCTGATTCTTCTATGACCCCCATCTTCAACATTTTACTTACTTCTTCCTTAACCGTTTCTATCATTGCAAATGGAATTTGCCTCGGACTTACTCTAATGGGTTTGTCTGTAGTTGTCCGTATGTCGTGTTCCAACACATGGGTGTGACCTGGTTTGTCACTCAAAACGTCACTAAAGCTGTGCAGAAGTTCCATCAATGTCTCCTTCTCCTGCCTACTCAGGTCTGGGTTCAAATCTACATCCTTATATGTTTCTACATTACATGAATCTACATACCCTTCTTGTTCATCTCCGAACTCCGACTCATCAATTTTATCTGAACTGACAACAGACATTGCAGAACTTACCACTGGATTTGATCGTTCAATATAACCTTTCAACAAATTTGCATGATAGGTTTTGAGTTTTCCATTTATGTCTAATTGGTAGTCAACATTACCTATCTTTTTGACAATTTGGTATGGCCCTTTCCACTGCATTAACAGCTTATTACTGTCAGTAGGTAGTAGAACTAAAACTTTCTCACCTGCCTTCATGTTACGACTTCTTGCTTTCTTATTGAAGTAAGCTCTGTGTCTCCTAGATGCTTTCTCAAGATTCTGATGGGCCAGTTCACAGGTTGACTCTAACCGGTCTCTGAGATCAAATACATATTGATAAGTGGACTTTACCTGTGGATCCTGTATTTCCCTTGTCCAAAGGTCTTTGAGAATCGTCATAGGTCCTCGAACAGCGCGACCATACACTAGCTCAAATGGGGAGAAGCCTAAGCCTTCCTGTGGTACTTCACGATATGCAAAGAGGACGGCTGGTAGGTACTTGTCCCAATCCTTTGGTCGATCGATACACATCCTCTTTAACATCTGTTTCAACGTACCGTTAAACCTTTCCACTAGTCCGTTACACATAGGGTTGTACGGTGTTGTCGTCAGCTGTTTCACTGAAATTAGCCTACTTACCTCCATCATAAGTCCAGATGTAAATTGTGTACCCATGTCTGTAAGAACCTCCTCTGGTACCCCAATACGAGAAAACATTTCTAACAAAGCCTCTGCAACCCTTTCAGTATCTATACCCGGGAGCGCTATAGCCTCTGGATATCTCGTTGCGTAATCTACTAAGGTTAATATAAATCGGTTACCTTTATCTGTTGCCGGATGTAATGGACCGATTATATCTACTGCCACTCTCTTAAATGGTACATCTATCAGAGGCATTCTGTCCAGCGGGACTTTGCTCACCTTTCCTTTTGAAACAGTTCTCTGGCACGTATCACATGATTGACAGAACCGCTTAATTTCAGATTTCATACCAGGCCAAAAGAATTCTGACAAAATTCTGGATATAGTCCTACCTGTTGCTAGATGACCTGACATAACTGATTCGTGTGCTAGCTTCATAACAATCGTTCGAAATTTAGAAGGTACTATGAGCTGTGAAAGAGTCTTACCTCCTTCCTTTTCCGATGCCTGATACTCCCTGTACAAAAGTCCTTTCTTCTCTAACCATCTTACCTTCCCATTTCGCGATATTCGACCTTCTTTCGCATTCCGAAGTGATGTTTCAAGGGATGGATCCTCTTGTTGTTCACGCTGTATATCCTCAGGTTTGATATCGTCCTTGACTATATCTGGAACTCTGAGAGCTGGGTAAGGTTTCTTCTTTTCTCTTGCTTGCTGTCGAGTCTCCACTGCTAAGACAGTCTTTGGTCTCCACTCTGGGTCGGGATCATGGGGTTTCCTTGCGTCGTGTACCTCTCCAATGATTAAATCAAAAACAGGGTTTTCCATACACCAAACCTCAAATTCACCTGTCACATATGGAGAATCTATACATACCTTTGCAAGTGGCACAACTCTCTTGGTATTATCTGCTTAAATACAAGTTTCACTTTTACCTGTTAAACTTTCATTTTTCACCAAGCTTCTCCTTACCACAATATTTTGACAACCAGAATCTCGAAGAAGTGTGACTGGTTGACCATCCACATATCCAGCAGATAGTGGCATAGGTTTCCTAGTGCTGTGACATGCCGAAGTTAAAATGGTTGATTTGTCACATACCTGAGAGTAGAGAACCGAGTTCTCACTACAAACAAATGCAGAACAATTCTCTGGTGTTTTGTCAACGTCTCTGCGCTCATCTTTATGCACTAGTGCGCCTGAAATCTTACCTTTGGATTTGTGACACTGTGGAGCTATATGGCCCTGCTTACCACAAATGTAACATTTTCTCTCTGTCACTGGAACGAACGAAGACTTCTGGTTTTGGGGTCGTTGCTGTAGATCTTTAGGTTTAACTTGCGTCTTACTTATTTGTACTTCCGTAGGTTTCTTAATAACCTTTGAACATAAATTTGAAGCACTTGTGTTTCTCGCCTCTCGAAATTGGTCTGCTAGAATGCATAATTCATCTGCCGTCTTTGGGACGTTCTGTTTAAGAAACACCAACAAATCATAATTGCACACATGTAAAAACTGATCACGAAGTATAAGATCAAAGAGATCATCAAAAGTCGTAGAGATCTTAGACATTTCTATCCAACGAGTGAGGTAAGAACCTAATCTGACAGTAAACTGAGAAAATGTTTCACTATTTTCGGGACGACAAGAACGAAACTTTCTTTTGAAACCTTCTTCCGTCATGTCATATCTCTGGAGTAACGCTGCTTTGAGCTCATCATAATTATCTGCTTTTGACTTTGACATTAAAGCATAAACCTCTAAAGCACGACCTTTAAGTAAAGCACTCGAATGAGTTGACCAAAGAGATGCATACCTTTCAAATCTTCGCAGATAACTATCCATCTCATCTCTGTTCTCTTCAAACGACGGAATTTTAGGGGTACTTGGTTTGACTGAGTTACTACTCACCTCATTCACTGATATGTTGCCCTTCGTTGCCATTTCCATCTCATGTTCATCAGCCATCTGTTTCAGCTTAAGGTCATTGTACATACGCTCCAATTGTAGTTGGTACTCACGTTCATCTTTCTCCTTTTGACGAACTGCCGCTCTTTCTTCACGCTGCAAAGCTTGTTGATCGCTCACATATTTGCGTAAACTATCGTCTTTATAGCCTAGTCTTTCTCCAGCAGAAATCAAATCATCTAAAGACTCCATTTTTAACAAAAATGTCAAATGTACACAACAAAATGTTTTTACTAACTCACTACTCTGTACACATGTTTGACATACTACTACTATACACAATACTGAACTGTTGAGTTTGGGTGACACAATTGTTAATGAATTTAACTGATCTACTACATTACCATGACCAGTCTCCACAACACACTCTGAAGTAGCTTGGCAATCAGCTTTTAAGGAAAACTTCTGGATCCCAAATAGCCAATGATCTTGTCCTACAATTACAGCAATTACAATGAAACAATTGATACTATGCAACATGGAAAAGCACGAATGTTCATCAGTTAAGAAAAAAATGATAAATAAAATGCAGTTTACTTTTAACAGAATAAATACTTCTGAAATTACAATCTGTTTGAGATAAATAGAGTTTCAGTTATTATGTGTGTCAGTTTTACTTATAATTTAACAGTTCAAGAATTCTTGGTAAAGTCAGTTATTATTTTCCCTGTCTGTATCCTGTTGCCCAACCCTATAGACGGGTCTGTATCCAGTGGATTGTCACGTGGGCGTCTCCTTGTTGGTATGTGCTGTAATAAGACAAGTTGTTGAATCTACGTCATAGGATCATCACACTTTCAATGGAATCCTGGGATCTGTATCTTTTAATGGCTGTAGCCTATCAATATCCCTGGATCGAAATTCCTGGATCTCCCTAGGTTGATCTCACTGGGTTGGTCGCCTTGGGTGGATCTTCTTGGGCGGATCCCACTTCTGACACCAAATGTCGCAGGCGGGCCGATAGGTCGCCACACAAAATAATTCTAGAACAGTTCTTTCAATTTTTTTTTTACATTTATTCAAGGATTAATACATAAGTAAAAGTTGTGGCATTGGTATGTTGTTTGGGTAGATTGGTTCCCTGGACTAATTTGGGACCTACAAAATCATTACAAATTCACATATTATAACAATTGTAAATAAAATATATCAACTTGATTCGTGCTTATGCATATCATAACATTCACTGTATACTTTGCATTTTACTGCATACACTAAAGCATTTTACTGCATACTGCATTTTACTGCAAATACTTAAGCATTTTACTGCAAACCGCATTTTACTGCATAACTCCACAAAATATTTATACGAAATATTTGTGTACAATAAACACGTACTTTACACCATACATTGTAGCTACTACATACTATAACTAGTGCTTATTGTAACGGGGACCGTTACAGATGTTCCCCAAACGCTCCCCAACTCCCTTTTGGTGCCATATTCCCTGTTATCTCTATTAAATAAGAAATACTTTATGGAATTTAGACTTAATCAAGGTCTTCCAAGAAAAATGCAAAATATATTAAAAAAAATAGGCATTGCACGCGTGTTCATGTGCGTAACGACCATATTATCTTGTCTACACTATCTTAAATTTTAATAATATCAAAGCATTTAATCCAAAAGTATTAAAAAATGCACTCATTCGAGTGCATTTTTTATTTTACTCATTTCACGTGCACGCACGTGCAAGCACGTGCATAATGACTACACCTTCTTGTAGGAGTCCCTTATATTTATCCAAGTTCTAAATCTCATCCTGTTTGGTTGAAAAAGAAGAGAGTTATAGCCATTTGAAGTTTCAGCCAATCAGATTGCAGCACACGTGCATGCGCGTGATTTCATGAATATTTTCTATATCACATTTTAGGATATCGTAATGCATGACTATGTTTTAAATTTCAAAGCATTTCGTCAAAAAACAAAGGAGATATAGCCATTTAAAGTTTTAGCCAATCAGATTACAGCACGTGCGCATGCGCATGCTTTTATTAAAATTCTAATACATCATGCTGTAGATCTTTATAATGTAGGACCATGTTCAAAATTTCAAAAGATTATGACAAGAAACAAGAAAGATATTGAGACTTTAGTTTCAGCCAATCAGAGCAAAGCGCACGTGCATGCGCGTGAGATCTTGCTATTTTGACCATGCCATCTTGTCTATACTACTAATGTATCCTTACATTATGAGTTTCAAAGCATTTTATCAAAAAATAGAAAAGTTCCGACTATATCTATTATACTGGTTATTTCAAGTGTTGCACGTGCGCGCTCTTGCAAGCACGTGCGCGCAAAATGACCTTGATTCCGCAAATCTGCATAACATGTCTACTTACCCTAAAAAGGTTTTACCTACCTCGGACGAACAGTTTACAAGATCATTCCCGGACAAAAAAGTACCCAGGAAGAAGAAGAAAAAAATAATAATAACTAGAAAGTCTGCTATTGCAAGCAATAGCATATGTCGCCCCGTACTGGACAAGACTTTCATTTTAATCATCACTAAAACAAAAGTTCATTAGGTACGTTTGAACAACCATCGAGTTGTATCAGTCCTTTCCATTGGAAATGGAAGACCTTAATTGGGTACATCCCACTCATTATTTTTAGAATCGGTAGGAGAAGAAAGTAGTGCAGGAAAATTACAAGTTCCTAAATTTGCAGACTTGCATAAAAGAAATCTGGCAGATGTACTGAACTGAGCCTCATACTTGTTAATTGGCAGTGTCTTTCCTATCATAAAAGCTTGGGAAATGTAATTTATGAAGAAGATCAGCCGAATTATTTTGTGTATTGTAACGCCAGTGAGAACTCTGAAATTTCCATCTTTCACTTTCATTTTAGAGGTTCTACCGAAAAACGAATCTGACATGCCACCATCAATTCGAGCATTTCTGCATTGCAGAGAGCTGATGTTTGTTATGAGAAGATAAATCATGTGTAAACTTTCTCAGTTTAGCGGAATCATGAACATTTTCGGCGATATGAATGTTTTGTATACAGTGGTGATCAAGGCTTCGCGAACCTGCAGGAGCGGATCAAAGGATTTATGAATGAATAAAAACTATGGAAATGACGTACCAATTTTTTAATTTATACTTGCACTATCTAATGAAATGAATAATATACAAGTGATAGATATACAAGAAAACGCGAAATGATAATAAATGCAGCTGACAATCGTTATTTTTTTTTTAATATAGATAAAATAAAATATTTATAAATTCAAGAGACAAACAGAAGGAGAATGAATGATGGCAAAATATCACATGACGGGAACTGAATTTTATGAATGAAGATTTTAAAAAGTTACTTGTAAGTTGTATATGTTATAACTGTGTATTCTACTTGGCTGTGTGCTTCAAAAAGGGGGGGGGGTCGTCTTGAACATAGTAAATAGCCATAACGTTTGAAGGGTAAGTACTAGGGCTTTCATATTTCAAATATGTAATCCTTGTGAAAAGAACTTTTATTTGATACGACGAACTTTGACCCTTTGACCTAGACCTTGGAGAACACATGTGTACATCTGAATCTTTTTTTATGTTTCGTTTCTATGGCAACTGTGAGCGACTCATTACAATTATTTTGAAAGTAGAAATCACTTTGACACATTGCAAGGAATAAACATTGAAAGTTTCAAAACGATTGCCTGAGTAGTTATTGAGAAAATCGAAATTAAAGAATTTTAACTTTCACCTGGTTTCCATGGCAATAATCGATTATTTGAAAATTTTAAATGCGAAGCGCACAACTACAGATACTAATCATTAAAATAAGAAAAGTTTCATGACGAACGTTTAAGGGACCAGAGAGAACACTCTCGGACAAAATTTGTCGCTTTTTACAGGTTTCCATGGCAACGGTAGACATATTGGAACTGAACGACCTCACTGCACAACTACAACCAGTGATCGTCCTTTGAGGAAAGTTTCAGGAAGATTGTCCCAGCCATCTCCGAGAAACAGCCTGGATAAAAAAAACATGCGTACAATATCAATATGTCGTCCCCGACTTCGTTCGGGGCGACATAATAACTCCTGAATTTTTCTCATCAATAACTCCTGAATTTTCCCCTTCAATTCGAGCATTTCTGCATTGCAGAGAGCTGATGTTTGTTATGAGAAGATAAATCATGTGTAAACTTTCTCAGTTTAGCGGAATCATGAACATTTTCGGCGATATGAATGTTTTGTATACAGTGGTGATCAAGGCTTCGCGAACCTGCAGGAGCGGATCAAAGGATTTATGAATGAATAAAAACTATGGAAATGACGTACCAATTTTTTAATTTATACTTGCACTATCTAATGAAATGAATAATATACAAGTGATAGATATACAAGAAAACGCGAAATGATAATAAATGCAGCTGACAATCGTTATTTTTTTTTAATATAGATAAAATAAAATATTTATAAATTCAAGAGACAAAACAGAAGGAGAATGAATGATGGCAAAATATCACATGACGGGAACTGAATTTTATGAATGAAGATTTTAAAAAGTTACTTGTAAGTTGTATATGTTATAACTGTGTATTCTACTTGGCTGTGTGCTTCAAAAAGGGGGGGGGGGTCGTCTTGAACATAGTAAATAGCCATAACGTTTGAAGGGTAAGTACTAGGGCTTTCATATTTCAAATATGTAATCCTTGTGAAAAGAACTTTTATTTGATACGACGAACTTTGACCCTTTGACCTAGACCTTGGAGAACACATGTGTACATCTGAATCTTTTTTTATGTTTCGTTTCTATGGCAACTGTGAGCGACTCATTACAATTATTTTGAAAGTAGAAATCACTTTGACACATTGCAAGGAATAAACATTGAAAGTTTCAAAACGATTGCCTGAGTAGTTATTGAGAAAATCGAAATTAAAGAATTTTAACTTTCACCTGGTTTCCATGGCAATAATCGATTATTTGAAAATTTTAAATGCGAAGCGCACAACTACAGATACTAATCATTAAAATAAGAAAAGTTTCATGACGAACGTTTAAGGGACCAGAGAGAACACTCTCGGACAAAATTTGTCGCTTTTTACAGGTTTCCATGGCAACGGTAGACATATTGGAACTGAACGACCTCACTGCACAACTACAACCAGTGATCGTCCTTTGAGGAAAGTTTCAGGAAGATTGTCCCAGCCATCTCCGAGAAACAGCCTGGATAAAAAAAACATGCGTACAATATCAATATGTCGTCCCCGACTTCGTTCGGGGCGACATAATAACTCCTAAATTTTTCTCATCAATATGAACTCCTGAATTTTTCTCATCAATAACTCCTGAATTTTCCCCTTCAATTCGAGCATTTCTGCATTGCAGAGAGCTGATGTTTGTTATGAGAAGATAAATCATGTGTAAACTTTCTCAGTTTAGCGGAATCATGAACATTTTCGGCGATATGAATGTTTTGTATAC